GTTGGTCTGATGAGCTTTAATCTCTGCATCGATGGTGAGGTCGCACAAGACTTGGGTCTTCATCTTTGCTTTGATCTTCATCTTTTCCTTGGTCTTCATCTTTGTCTTTGGGGTCTGAACTCAGCTGATGAGAGAAGTACGATTTGAAGCCACATGTTGCGGGGCTGATGGGTTGGTCCCCATGCCCAGGACAGTCTTCGGTTCTGTGGCCCCGGCTCTTCTTCAGCTGCAGAGTTCTTTGTCCATCTCGGTCTTGGCTCGAAGCTGCTTGGAGGATCCAACCAAAGATTTCTCTTTTGCTCTCACCTTTTAAAGGGTTTATCAACGCTTTTGATGCATTTGCATTGGCCAACACTGTTGCTGTGCTTGTTTCATTGGCTGACTGCTCGGACAGATGATCTCATATCCATCACTGTCTTAGAGACATTATGTCCTCGTGTCTGTGCTAATGTCTCAGGGTTGCTCAACATTCCTCCCTTGGCTTTTCCTTGAAACGTTTAAGTTGTTCAACCATCTGTCTTCAAATACACCATTGGCCATCTCTGCTCTGCCGTTAGTTCCCATTTTACCCCTAACCTTCTACCACCAACACATCATCAGTGATCTTCAATTGCAGTTACACATTTTACACCATTTCAAGTTCAATGTCAAAATCACATTCATAACCATTTTAGTTTCTTTGATTTAGCATTCATTTATAATTTTATGATACCCACAACTTATTATTCTTATTATAATCATAATGTGAGTTATTACAAATTATTATTTAAAAATTTGTTCTCTCATTCTGTCATGTAGAGTATGAACAGGTCGTTGTATTCGGGTAGATTCATTCATAATTCAGTGTTTGTCAAACATAAAACTGATCAGGTAAAGTGAAGACTGGAGGAAAAATCTGTGCCAACCAAATCAGTGTTAAACTGTCCTGTCACAAGAGTGACAATTTAAAACTAACTTAACCGATGTTACCGTGAAATATTACATGAAGCTTGTGATAACTTAAAGTTGTACCATTATGATGGAAAATGGTGCAATCAAGTAACTGTTACCTTCAATTGTTATAAAAATGCTATATATAATTTGACTTGAAATATAATGCTTGAAAATTGGGCCTCTGCCTCTTGAAAAACTGCTGCTCCTTCTGAAACTCCACCTTCAGAACATCACAACATGGCTCCTCCATTAACCCTTTCACAATACATTTTACCAGCATTGGACTGAGAAGTAGCTGGTAGAAAGAGCTCAACTGATTCACAGTTTTACCAGGTGTTTACTAATTGCTGTTGGCTAGTCTGAAGGAGCTTCGACTCAAAGGCAGTGCTAGGTCCACATGCATTATGTATGATTATTTCATACACGCATGAAATAATCAAGGCAAGACTCCACGGGCGTTTTTAACGAGGGAATGACATTATAAAATTATTGACAGGTCAAAGGCATTTCCACAGAATACCACCGGCCCTTTAAAAGTAGACAATGATTGTCTGCACACAGCTGGTTGGCAGTCACCTCTGGAATCTGTGCCACCAACTGATTCGGCTGGTTGTATTTGATGTGAGTAATCATTAAACAGCCAACTGTGGCCAGGCTTGTGTGGTAAAGTTCTAACAGCAGATTGTGAGCCATGATGCTGCATATTTAGAACCAATCAGGAAGTCTTGTGAAGTAAAAATAGTGTTATTTCTTTTAAGAATTTTATTTTATTTCTTTAGTCATTTAACACTAGTATTGTTTAGTCTGTTAAACCACGTAGGTCAAGGAGTCTTTAAAGAATCAGTTAGATAGGTTTTCTTTTGACCTCTCCTTGGAAAAGTTTCAGTAGGTTGTCAGTAACTAAAATCAGGCGCCAGTGTTTCTTAACAGATAACAATAAACAGGTTAGGTCATTGTAGTGAGATGGAATAAACCAAGGCTTAACAAATTCCTCCATTAAAATGTCACAAGCTAAGGCTACGTACAAAGTCTACGTACAAAGTCTGATAATGTTCTTGTTATGCAAAATTGTTCCATCAGTAAACCTGATTTTTGGAAATGCACCTGTTTTTGAATAAAGATGTTTATCATCTGAACAATTAACTTACCCTAAGAATGGATGTTGCATTCTCTCTATACCCTGTTAAGAGTGACTGTGCATTAACCTGTTCGACTGGAATTGGCTCTGGGCCAGTGAGTGACCACATTGTACAGAGAGTCCTATATATTGTGAGAGCTTGCAGCTCCAAATCAGAGCTCATTGTAGGTACAGCTGTTGTGCTGTGGTTACTGTGTGTTCTCCGTTTGCAAACGACTGAAATAAAGATTTTGCTCTTTGCCATTTGCCAGAGTCTCAAGCCTGATCTGTTACTACAGATTAGATAGTTTTTTTTTCCACAGTCTGTCAAGAACAATAAAAGACAAAGAGCCCTGTGGCAAATGAAACATTGAGCTGGTTCTTCTGCTTCCTATAATATTATTGCTTTAAGAGTTTTGTGAGCTATAAAGCGAATGCTCTCTGTCATGTTCTGATAAAGCAATGCAAAACATGACCCTGAACATTGCAATAGTCTTTGGTGATAATTGGTAATATAACAGCAGATGATAAAATAGTGGAAAGAAACTTAGTGTCTAATGATTAGTAGAACATGGCTCATCTAAGGTCACTCTGCCCTTGCTATAATAAGATTACCTGAGGAGCAATACCTTCCACATGTTTCTGGAAACCCAAATACAGCCACAAGCCGTTTGTTAATATACAGGACACATTTCAGATGACTCATCACCGGTTTTTCACCGGTGGTTGAGCCTCACCTTGAGGCTGACAATTTCAAGTGCCACACTGCTGGATAGAACATGCAAAAGAAAAAACAAAAAAGAAGTTCTTCTTCAAATAAGATATTCTTGGGGTCAAATGAAGCCCGTACTAACAACCTAAATCCAGTATTTTCACCCCCCGGTGTTTTCTTACTTCAGTCCAGCTGATTTCAATAGACAGGTGTTTGCAATCGGCTGAATCAGGTGTAGTAAAGAATGGAAACATGTAAAACCTGTGGGGCAGTGCGCCTCGATGACCAGCGTTGGGAAACAGTGCTCTAAAGTGCTTCGGTTTAGAGAAAAGCTCGAGGTGCCCAGGCAAGACGAGCCCCGATCATCACTTCCCACCACTGTGCTCAACAGCTGGTTTGAGCGAAGCTGCTGTGTTTGGGTTTGTCCATGACAAACAGATATCTTTACATTGGTGTCATTTGTCCAATGGACATGATTCCAAAATGTATACAAGTCATTTATATGCAACCATGCAAGCAAGCTGTATTTGTTCAGTTTTACTTTGAAAATCCTTTACTGTAACATTTAAGTGAGAATGAGATGGACCTCTGGGATTTTTTTGCAGGTTGTACAGCTGAGGCATGGTCTGATCTGGTCTGGGGTTGAACTGGCAGGAACATAAAGTCCTGGGAAAATCAGCAACTGTGTTACATATTTACCATGTGTGATGCATTTCTCTTTACCAGCAGCACCTGGCTGTTACTTTTCTACTTAAATATTACGGAAGCAATAAGACAATGAATTAAAATTATTAATATTGTCCATGCTCTCTAAAGCCAAAACAGTGCTTACTGCTGCAACACATGGTTGCAGCTTTTAGTCTGACTTGTCAGTCTGACCAAGGACATTCCCCAGTTAGATGCTGAATATAAGGCAAGATTTGCTTTGCAAGACAACATACAACACCGAAAAAGAAAAATAGAAAGTGTGCACTAAACATCTCAGCCAATCAGAAGCCCACCAAGCAATCAACCCAAAAAGCAAACATTTGTGTGGAGCTACCGGTCAAAATCCAATGAGCAATACTAAAAAAATAAAAAAATAATAATAATTTATAGACGCTACCTCTAGAAATACAAGTATACAAAGCTTAAACTTAAATCAGGTTTCTGACTACAGCTATGTAAATACTATGCCAGCCTATAACAACAGGATTCGGATAGTACCGCCTGACAGAGCAGATCCAGACTGCAGAATTACACCCCACACGCTCGGTCATTCATTTCAGCCACGCCGGCTTCCGTTGGGCCAGTGTTGATCTTTTCGCTTATCAATAACTGTAAAACAGAATCAGATCTCTGGCAAATAACACCTAAAAATTCAAAAGTGCGCTTATCTGTTCGATATGAGGCATGTGGTGTTACTCAATAACTCGGCTGCCTCGACGGCTAGTGTGATTTTAATCAACCGAACCGGCTACATTCAAGTCAATACATACAACTTTAGTTCGTTTAAATATTAAAGTACGTTCAGTAAGTATTGCTTATTGGTAAAGTCTTACCTCTGCCCTCTCTTCAACGCCTACATAAATAAGCGCCGCTCCGGTGTGTGAGCTACATGTGTACCTCCATGGACCGCCCTTGACACTGGGCTGCGTTCAGGTACGCCTCGTAAACTACAGCTTCCAACTCTAAACAGAGAAATAACTTTATTTTGCGTTTGGTTATGCGAGTTATGCTCTGGTTTTGATTATTGAAGTCGTGGTGGTTTAGAAACACCTTAGAAAAATGAAGCAACAAGCTTGGTAAGAAAGCTCTACATCCATTATGCAATTATAAATGAAAAAAAAGGTGGTTTTACATCGGGAATGTCTGTCTTGTATGTTCGGTGGCAGTCGTTTTCCGAAAGCAGTTAACATGATTTCAAATACCTTGACGATTCCAGCCATCATTATTCGGCTTTGCTGAACGAATCTTTAATTCCAATCTTCACGACACACGTGAAGGCAACACAACGTGCTCTCGCGGCCTCAAATTCTCTGAAATTAACGCATTGATTTTTATCAACTTGGAGTAGCGCGAGCCGCGTGACAGTCGGAATGACGCCAGCAAGGTTCGGTAAAACAGAGGCAGGTCTCAGTATCTAAATGACGAAGGTTTGCAGCGGGTAGGAGGGATGTCTTCACCATGGTGACTAATTACCCCAGCTGTGGCGGTACATTTAGTGCCAGCTGCTGCGCCATGATATAAGCATCCTACCTGCTCATCTTTTACGTCCCAGGCATGTTGTCGGGGATATCCGCCGCCGAGTCCAGCTGGCGGAGGAAGCGAGAAAAACACACCAGGGACCTCCGTCCCCGACGACTCCCGGTGCGCGTGATGGAAGCGCAGCCGCATCCAGCTCCTCTCCTCCTCCGCCTCCTCCGGCTGGTGACGTGTTTCAACAAATGCATCCTGACACCAGCGGAGCGCCAGGCTGATGACGAGGCCGTCAAAACGTACAATATGTGCACTCATATAAAACAGCTTTGAGATCCTATGATTATTCCATTCAAATTCAAAAATGCAGTTTTTGATCCCAGAGAAAAATGAATTGTGTTATAACTCATATTATTTAAAAATTCTACAAAGAGTTATTGCAGATGGTGATGATGTGGGAAGGAAAGATCTCCTGTAGCGGTCTGTTATAGCGGGTTTTTTAAAGCATCTTTGTATATGTCCAAATTCCTCCTCCTTGTATTACTAGAGTTCTTAATTATTTTACTGTCAGTTTTAAGCCATTAATGCAAAAGTTGACAATTGTGAATGAAATTCAAAGTTGTGATTTGTGCAGAAGGCAGGCTATCAACCACAGAACTGGAAAAAGCTACATATTATTGGAGTATGAATAAACAAATGGATTGATAAGGAAACAAATCAATGGAAGTATGATGGACAACCAAACAGATGGATAGATGATGGATAAAAGTAATCTATGCTAGCTGAAATATGTAATTTTATTTTAATTTTTTTTTTTTTACATATTTGTTAGGTCCAAACACCTGAGCATAGACACAAAGAATAGACGGGGGTCAGAATGTTACTTTTTACCTGCAGGGAGAGCACAGCTGAAACTCAGTTACAGATTCTCGGCCTTTGCTCTGAGCTTCAACTGGGCCCCCTACCTGCTTGTATTCAAAATTAGGAACGCCCTGGTTACATGACGGGCATGCAGTCCTAAAGGAGAGAGGAGCAAAGCACAGCTACACACTCAAATGCACAGAACTTAATTATACAACCTTCAAAACATATTTCATAAGATAAGAATATCAGTTTGCAGTTCCTCTAGATCATATGTGTCAAACTTAAGGCCCGGGGGCCAAATCCGGCCTGCCGAAGCATTTTATGTGGCCCTCCACAGTGTAGACTAAACACTAAGTGTGATTAAATATTCTATTATCAATCATACCAATGCAGTTTTTATCTGTTTACTGCCAATTTATATCAGTCAATCCCTCCAGTTTCTTGAGAATTTAGTTGATGTATGATTATAGTCCATGATTTATACAGCGAGTAAATAAACAGTCGCATTTATTATTAGTTCCTGAAGGGATTAAAAAGATGTTCAATAATATTAAGTAATTTTAAGAATTCATTGACATATTAAGTTTGTGAACAGGTTTTATCTGGCACAACCAGCCCTTTAAGAGCCTTCATAATCTTGATTTGGCCCAAAACAAAAATGAGTTTGACACACATGCTCTAGATAATGAGTTCTGGAACTTCCCGTTCATGGTACCCTCCTCTTCACTCCTCAGCAGGCAGGCCGCTTCTCACAGCTTTCTGTTCTCTGCAAACACTTCCAAAACACTTAAAGCACACCATCAAAATGTAAATACATAGGTAAATAAATGGATGATAATGTAAGATAAAGATGAAACAAATAAATGATAATAAACTATAAAAATTCTTCCAACAATATTTGATGAAACAGACACAAAGTTATTACAGTACAACATGAGACAGATCATTTGTTTGATTTGTTCTGATTTGTTTTTAAATAATCCAGCTCTTCTGCTTTTTCTCTGTGGTCCTTCTGTCAGAAACACATCAGTCCAGAGCAGAAAGGAAGCACTCAGAGTCAATAGGAGGGTCTTGTTGCTGTTTATTATCCTCGGGTATATGCTGCTCAATGTGCTAATGGCAGAGAAACATTAGCGCTGTGAGCAGTTTTTGTTTAGCTTCACTCTTCATCAGTGGCTTTACTAACTAGTCTGAACATGTGATTGACAGCGCTAAGACCCGCCTTCTGGTTCTGATTGGTTGTATCTGACAGGGAGCTGAGCATTTCTGCAGATGGAAGTAGGTTCATGCAGAAGAATTAGATATTTTTCAGATTAGCTCTCTCCGTTTACATCATCAGGACAGCAAAAAACAAAAAGTTGATTTGGTGGTTAGTTGCACTGTAAAGATTTACTAGTTGTGACAGAATCCCAGTTTCAAGGTGTTTCATGGACAATGTGGACTTGCTTCTCATGTCAATCTTATAACCCTTTTGGGTAAATACTTTATTCATACAAATGTAACTCATTCATATGGAGCCCTTCACAATATGCATACTACAATTTCTGATTTGTATAGCCACAAATGTCAATTTAAAGACACGTTTAAAGAGTCTCAGTTAACTCTTTGGTGTGAAAAAACTCAGCTCCTTCAGACTAGTTAGAAACAATTAGCCAACACCTGCTGAAATTGCACATCTGCTGCTCTTTATACCAGCTACTTCTTAGTGTAACACTGGTAAAAACATTGTTAAAGGTGTAATAGGAGCTGTGTAATGATGACTTCCTGAAGGCAGTTTCAGGAAGAGCAGTAGTTTTTTTTGAAAAGTAGTTTTTTTCAAGGCCTTAAGTTAGGGAGTGATGCTTCTTAAATCATGTTTAATATATAGTCTTCATATCAACTGGAAGCTTAGTTACTTGATTATGTTATGTCACTATGTGAACACTGCGCCCCTTTAATATTCAGGTTTGTTTGATATAAAATTACTTGAAAAATTTTTAGTGATCAGAAAATAAAATCACCTTCCAACATTTCACACAATGACACTGTGTTGTGTGGATAGTCTTTTTTTTAATGAAAATCTGGATTAGAAGTAAATTACATTGACTGTAACCAAAATACAAACAGTTTAACACAGTAAACATGTTTGTAAAGATTCATGAACCAGATTTATTGGATCTATTACAGACAAAACTCCTCTGACAAACTGAGGAATGTTTCTGTGTTCATCATAAAGTCTCTACTGAACTCTTCTGCTTTATATTTTTGTTCTCTGGTACACATCAGAGTACAAGAGAACAAAAACCTGTGCAAAACAACACAAATACAGCAAAAGTCCTTATTTTACATGACTGGGTTATCTCCCAGTCATGTAAATATTCTCTCCATATCTTGAAATTTGCTCTGCCACAAATGTCAATGTCTTTAAGGCGGAGCTCAATGTCCAACTTCTTGTGCGTGTCGGTTAGTTGAGCAGTCTGATGATGGAGTTGATGTCTGTGGCTCTGAAGCCGGGGTTCCCCAAGTCCTTCAGCAGTCCGGCTTTATCCCTGGCAGCGTGGCGCGGCACAGACAGCCTGAAAGGCAACAGGAAGTTGTTGGCAGCTCTGAAGCTCTTGCCGACTGAGTAGATTTCGTGGATCAGGTCCTCAAGGCAGATGATGCCAGTTTTACCTGAAGGAGGAAGAGGGAAATGTGTCAGGACTGAAACGTTGGATTGGTGGATCTATGCTGGGGTTTTGCAGAAAGAGCACCAATACTTGAAAGTGAGAACTTTAAGGGAAGCCAGAGTTTTGTTTTATTTTCTAGAACACAACAGGAGAATATATCAAGAGCAGGATTAGGGACGGACAGATCTCAACATTTGGACCAATACAGAGAGCCCATATTATTACTGCTCCAATATTTACTGATATATGCCAACCCCGACACCTTTGACACCATGAGAAAAACAACCAGATAATACTTCTGTATTTCATTTAAACTCCTTGCAATCCTGCACAGAACCACCATCACTTGCTGAGTTTCCATTACAAATGTATGCAGAACTTTGTCAATATTACTATTAATATTGAGGTGTTTTCATTTAATAAGAAACGCAATTAAAATCGCAACTTATTGCGATTTTAGCAATAAATCGCCAAAAAGAAACATGCCAAGGCATCATCCTTCAACTACTTCCTGTTGACGTCGTCTTCTTCTATTTTGGTTGCATCAATGTCAACAGCCGGTTGTTGACACGTGACTTGTGTGATAAAAAAGTGTTTCCAATGCAGTTTTGATGCAGACGAAAAGCCACCTCATTGTCGCGACATCGATTCTTTGTGAGTGCCATGTTTCCATTGAGCAAATTTATTTTCTAAATGTCGAATTGGGTCATTGTATGGTCAATGAAAATGCAGCGACTGTCACGGGACCAAACAAATATAACTAAAACCCTCCTCCTCCACAAACAGTTGCTAATAGTGGTTCTCAGTGGTCTGTTAGTGGAACGTCACTTATGAGCCAGTGACGTTAAAATATGACCGACACAGACTAACAACGATGTTGATGTATCGCGCTTCCTTAGACAGGACCGGTCAATAGGGAAGTCACAGCTGAGCCGTACCCATGTGCTCCTCGATGAGGGCGTTGTCAGTGAGGGGAACCCTTCTCCTGCCGATCCTGGTCTGGCCTCTCTTCAGAATCAGCTCGCGGACCGACTTCAAGTTGGGGAACCTGTTGGAAGGGTTCACCAGTGTTCACTCTGACCCAGATGGGAAACCCCAATAAAACCCAGGTCAGAGCACAGCGGCCGGGATGACTCACCCCCAGGCCACGTATGGCTCCACTATCTTCATCATCTGCATGGAGGTCTTGTTTATCTTAATGAAGTTCCCGCTGAAGATCTTCCTCAGCCTCATCAACTGGATCACCTTCATCACTTTGGGACTGACACCTTTGATCCTAACCGGACACAACAGCAGGGATTTAATAGAAGGCATAAAAGAATGCAGCATAGGTTTCCAAATAATAAAGATGTCTCTGTCCACAGCCACTGTTCAGATTGATAATTTCTTCACATTTAAAGGAGTTAAATGCAAGACTTCTTAACACCTCTTAGTTTGGATTTGAGCATTATTCATATGGAATATAACTTAAGCCATGTCTGGCCTGCAGATTCTCATTTTTGTAACCCAAAGGAGAAAAACGTACAGCAGGATCGTTCATCGGGCAAGCAGTATAACATTCTAGAGACAATGAGAATTACAGATTATCCCTATTTATATATAAATTTACAGGATTAGAAAATTAGGCTGATTTTAATAATGAAGAGAGTTCAGAATATATAAAATAAAATTGACAGTTTTCCCTTTGCAAGTTGACATGCCCTGCATCCACCAGATGGCAGCAGAGGATTAAAGATGCATTCTTCTGTTGATTAAGGTGAATGTTCATCATGAATTATTAAAGGCCTGAACTTTTAACAAGTGATGGATGACAGTAGGACAGTATATAAAGGAAGAAGATGTCTTTATATATTAAAAATGAGTCAAAGCTTTACCATGGTGACATCTAGTGGCAGACTGCAATGACAGCAGCGTTGTTGTTATTTAACAAAAACATCAGAACCAAAACCAGGGTTTTAATCCATACTGTGTCTCATTTAATTTACATATTCAAATTAAATTTCAACAGCCGGTTTAGCAGACTGACAAAGTTTAGTCTCCTCTCAATTTGTGGACAACATTCTAAATATCTTTTTATATCACAAACCAGATCATATCTGCAGTGCAGAGTAGATTTTAGAGGGCGATCGAACAAATGGTAGAAAGAAATAGTGATGTGCCCTCAATGTTTGTTTTGTGTTTGTTGTGAGGGCTGTGCCTACAAAGAGAAGAGAGAGAAAGAGAGAGAGAGAGAGAAAAAGCGAGAGAGAGACTTGATGTATAGCAAGCTGTGCTCCCGCACCTGTAGTTGTGGGAGTGGCTGTGACAGGAATGCATACAGTAGGCGATGAACAAAGCTGAAGTTGATTCTTTAGGTTTTGTTTGTCCTTCCTGCAGGTTTGCATTTGTCTCGTTCGGTTGACTGGCATTTGATTCCAGAACGATCCAGTAAAGCTCGGACAACCAGGTCAGAAAGTTGAATTTAAAAATTTAAAGTGAATCAGGTATACATATCCAGTTCAGTAGACGGCTCTGTTTGAAACATTGTACAGTTCTTATCCGGAACCATGATATGATCCACGATGCAACTATTCAAACTGTGATGATTATTTCGATAGGAAAACCAACAGAAGTCGTGTTCTGCTGCTCCAGTTAAAGATACAACTTTATGAATATTTTGGCATATTAACTCTTTGTTCTGTATCCTAAACAAGATGACTGACTGACAACAGGAAGTAGAACTAAAACTTTCACTTTGAAATAACTACCATCCTTATTTCTAACAGCTGAGAATGTTGGGACTAAATCAGACATGTTTCAGTATTTATGGTATTATAAGCTTAAGTCAATAGCACTGTGTTTTACATTATTCTATAGTGAGTAGTAGGATATGCAAATATGTGCTTATTTCCGTAGATGTGATAATGGAGGATTTGTATTGGTTTTGTATTCCACAGCAGCCCGGCTTCAAGCCAGGACCTAAAACTATCTGCTGGAAGACGGAGCGTCCATTTGAAATGTTTTATCCTACAGAGAGACGGTTCCTGCCTCTATCATCAAAAAGCAGAAGCAGCAGTTTGTTGACGTTGATCTGATTGTGTTTGCTGACACGTCCGATCAAAGCCAACGCCGTCGGTTAGTCAGAAGTGATGACCATTACCTGGTGGCGATCACTAGCGTTGTTAGACAAAACAAGACATGATATGATCCACCAGCACCTCATTTTCAATCTCGTGAGTACGATCAAGATAACATGCAGATGGCACCGCAGCCCGCATGAAGACTGCAACAGTTCCTATTGGCTGCCATCAGAATCACATGACCGCTCAGCGACAAAAGGTAAAGCAGGAAGTACAATCCCACCATGGAGAAGCAGCGCACAACTATCCAGGTAGGTATGGGGCTTTTCTGCATTTTTAGACCTAATCTAGACTTCAAATTAAATATAGTCTCAACTCATAAGTCCACAACAGGATAGAACAGTTTAAGGTTTTTCATTGTAGTTTAGTTTTATTAAGTTGTGACTTTTTTTATATTTAAGACTGTTTTGAATTCTGTACCTCAAAGTATTGTAATTATGTATAAATTGACTGCGTAATGAATGCTAAAGAGAAAATGCCGTTTTCAATTATTGTTGAACAACCAACTGACGCTGGAGTTTTCTCCAAACTTTTGCCGTCACCATTTTGAGGACTAGTGTAAACGTGAATGAAGGATGTTGTAGCTACAATTTCAGTATGTTTCAGTTTTATAAACACACAGTACACTTCCTGTTATGTTATAGTTTTCCCCCCATTGATCACCGTTTTTATTTATTTCAGTTCACAAAAATGTCTGTTCAATTTCAGTTTTTGTTATTTTGCTTGCTGTAGTTAACTATAATAACTTACTCTCGGATGCGCACAGCAAAAGCCAGCTTGTTTTTTTCGGGCGGCAGAGGGGCCGGGGGCCTGTGGTCGTTCCTTCGGATGCGTGTCTCATCTCGGTGCTTTTTGTGGCTTTCTTTCAAGAAATCCTCCAAACGCTTGAAACTGAGTGGTTTGCCTTTTGTTACCTGGAAAACAGAATCATGCAGGTGAGTGGTACGGCAGTGGAAAGGAGAAGGAAGTCGTCCAATATTTACACCAACATTAACTCGTTTTTCAACTAGCCTCGAATCACAGAGTAGAAATGGAGGAGACGTTTATATAATTTACTGTTTATTAGCCAATGGGCTCGTCTCTGTTGAGAAATATTTACATGATTTTGCTCAATTCAAATACTGATATAGCTCCTTTATGCCCAGGAAACAGAGTCATCTTTCCACTCACCTTTCTTTTCTCTAGGAGTGCAAGTTTAGCTTGAGTGGCCTTGATGGCCTGGTATGTTTTCCTCTTCTTAAGAAGATACTCTGGAACCAGCTTGATCACCTTCTTTGACCTGGAATGACCAAAATACAAGAAGGTTAAACACAGAACAAGACGTTATGCGCTGTCACTCGATCAGTTTGTGTTTGCCATGTTTCTATTGGCTGAAGTTTCATTGATTTGATTGGTGAATAGCTGTTACAGCAGCAGCCAACCACAACCAGACATTCGTTTTTCAAACGAGGAGCCCCTGATGGAGGAACTTCCACTGAAGGTAAAGTTAGACCTCTGTAACTTCTATGTAGAATTTCTAGATCAGTGATCATATCCAGTTTTTGCCTTCTACCAAAATAGTCGCTTTAAACTGACGTTTGTACTGGCTGTGGGTGGACAGTGTACTGAGTTAGTCTGTTTTTCACAATGTGAATATATTTATAATTCTCATACGCGTATCGCGTTCTCTGGAAAGTTGTATAACTTTGCTTGTTCATAGTATGATGCAGAGCTAATGTAAACTTGTCGTAACGTATTTCTGCTTTTCCGATTTTTCTTTCTTTCCGAGAAACTTAACTTATAGTTAGGCATGTAGCATTATTAGAACTATGTTAGTTTGTGCCATCTTTGATATGTGTACATTACTGTAGATGTCATCTGAGATTTTTATTCTACAGCTGCTTCTTCAGCAGACGAATTTAGAACCAATTCAGCAGGTTTGTGTAAGTTTATTTGTACTTTGCCTGCATAAATGAGCACCTTCCATACTTTAAATCATCTTTGCGCCGACAGATGATGTTGTTTTGTAGTTTATCTGCACATAAGGTTACGATTTCAACCACATTCATGTCTTGAACACTAACAAATAATCGCAGCTGTGAAAATACATCATAAACCTGGACAGAATTATTGTGGAGTGGTTAATAGCAGGTTCTAGAAAACTCACCTTCAGATTTAGAAGACATTTTGTCCATTACATTTAGGTATTTCTACATCATGTCGTTTTAAAGCAGGGCTCTATTTAAGATGATTCCCAAAAAGTTAATCAAATTTGTTTGTTTTGATTGCACGAAAATGACCAACATTTTCACCAACACTGTGATCAGGAGACTCTGGAGGGAAACGATGGAGTTCGAGTCCAAACCGTCAAGATTTTGAACTAGAACATTTCAAAAGTCTGAGATGATCACTATCCTGCAAGTTCAGTCCAGAAATGTGAGCTTCTTCATATTCAGAATACATCATTTCAGAGGTGCCGTTCTGCATTGATTGAGCAGAACAAGCCTGGAAACAGAATGCAGACCCAAACAAACAACAAGACTTGTTTGGGTGACACAAATTATGCAACATTAGCCTTGATCACATTATAGCTAGTATATAGAGGTACCAATTTATTTTCCTCACGGTATTTAGAAAACATACGACCCGAGAGGCATGTGGAGCGGTTCACAAATAGAAGCTAAATTTATTGATGTTAATCTTCATCTAGTGACAAATAATGATCTTTTTAACCGCTTAGTCAGGAGAACATTGTTCGTAAGGACACAAAACAACGAAAACTTCGAAACAGAACCCAGGATGGATTTGGATACAAAACACAAATAATACTTACTCTTCGTCCGCCATTTTCAGAACTCATTCGCCCCGGAAGTAAAATCCGACATACATCACGTGACGTATGTCGGAAATCCGACATACTCTTTCAATAAAAATTCATTTAAATTGTGATTTTAATTTAAATCAATTGAAGTAGCAATGAATGACAGGAGCTCAAGTTGGCATCGATTGTTCTTTAATTTTCCATCTGCATTTCACATCTCGGGCATTGAGCAAAGGTCAGGCTCCAGCACAAAACAAGCTTCTCAACAGTGACCCTCATAGCGCTGAATGCAATGCAACTTTTTATCAGCAGATGGTGCATTTGAGCAGGAAGGTCCTGGGTTCGATTCTCGGCCCGGGGTCTTTCTGCACGGAGTTTGCATGTTCTCCCTGTGCATGCGTGGGTTCTCTCCGGGTTCTCCGGCTTCCTCCCACAGTCCAAAAACATATCTGTCAGGTTAATTGGCCTTCCCAAATTCTCCCTAGGTGTGAATGTGTGTGTATGGTTGTTTGTTCTGTTTGTCTCTCTGTGTTGCCCTGCGATAGACTGGCGACCTGTCCAGGGTGACCCTGCCTCTCGCCTGGAACGCAGCTGGAGATAGACAACAGCACCTCCCGACCCCGTTAGGGAGAAGGGTGACCGGAAAATGGATGGATGGATATATATATATATATATATTTACTGCACATTTCTGGACTGAGATGTCTGATGTTGTTCCTGGGATCTGTTGTAGCCACTGCTCCAGTTTGGGGGTTACTGCCCCGAGGGCCCCGATGACCACAGGCACCACTGTGGTCTTCACCTTCCAGGCCCTCTCCAGTTCCTCCCTGAGGCCCTGGTATTTCTCCAGTTTCTCGTGCTCCTTTTTCCTGATGTTGCAATCACTTGGTATTGCTACATCTACCACAACGGCTTTCCTCTGATGTTTATCCACTACGACAATGTCTGGTTGGTTCGCCCTTACCATTCTGTCTGTCTGGATCTGGAAGTCCCACAGGATCTTAGCTCTGGCGTTCTCCACCACCTTTGGGGGTGTTTCCCACTTTGATCTCGGGGTTTCCAGTCCATATTCTGCACAGATGTTTCTGTACACTATGCCTGCCACTTGGTTATGTCGCTCCATGTACGCTTTCCCTGCCAGTATCTTGCACCCTGCTGTGATGTGCTGGACTGTCTCAGGGGCCTCCTTGCACAACCTACACCTTGGGTCTTGTCTGGTGTGGTAGATCTGGGCCTCTATTGCTCTGGTGTTTAGGGCCTGTTCCTGGGCGGCCAGGATGGGCCTCTGTGCTGTCCTTGAGTCCAGCTTTTTCCAGCCATTGGTAGGATTTACTGATATCAGCCACTTGGGTTATTTGCTGGTGGTACATCCCATGTAGGGGCTTGTCCTACATGGGACAATATATATATATATATATATATATATATATATATATATATATATATATATATATATATATATATATATATATATATATATATATATATTTAAAGAAGTCATCATTGTTTTTCTAGAGTCTTATGACTGAACCATAAAATCTTTAATCACTGGAAGTTATCCAACCTTACAAATTACTTAAACATTAACTTCAGTTTAAATAAGTTGCATTTTGTGTTTGATTGAGCAGAACAAGCCTGGAAACAGAATGCAGACCTCAAACAATGGTTAAACTCAGGGCTTTGCTTTATTGAACATGTGATGAGGAACTTAACATGCATGTCCATCAAGGTTTCATTCATTTTCTTCCATCATATCCCCCACAATTCCACAGACAACACAAGCACCAGTCAAACTATTCAACCTTTATGATTGAATGTTGTTATTCAATCATAAAGTGGCTAGTTTTCCTCAAAACTAACAGATTTCTGCTCCATGTCACTGTGTGACGGTGCGGTGAGAGGCTGGAGGAGTAACCGCTCTGCACCTCATCATCACCTCCACAACAGCGTGGAAGAGGAGTTCTTACTCTGTACAACAGTACAACAACGCCAAAAGGGAATAGGTGTTCCCTTATGATGATACCTATTCATCTCTAGGAACCAAGCAATATAATGACTGTTACAACTGCAAATGCCCTGAGTGGTCCAAACTAATAAAAGATCTTACAAAGAAAAAGATCACCCCTGTTACCTAGAAAAGAAATTAGTTTCTCTCAAAAGCTGATGATATATCTGCAAACTGCAACCAAAAACAAACCATTTCTCCCACTTTAAGAAAAACTGATGTTACCCAGTTCTTGTTTCTCCAGCGTGTGAAGCATTTGCTTTTCACTGATACCAGAGAAAATGTGTAAGAGAAAACAAGGTTTAAAACCCCCCCCAAAAATTCTGTTTTTACCATTTTGTGCCGGATCTTTTTACTTTTCACATTTTACTAGCCCATTACTAGAAATGTTCTTCCAAATCACAAATGTTTAGGGTTAGACCTTACAGTAGTGTGAAGCATAGCTCGCTTCCTATGTGAAAGCAGCTCATCTGTATCTGTAGCTAACGTTACAAACTCTATGCAGAAAAAAAATGAATGAAGTGTTTTAGTCATGATCTGCGATAAATATTGAACCAGCACCATCAACAATTTAAGAAGGAAATGACTCCAATTTAGATTTTAAAGAACTAAGACAAATCTCTAAGAACTGTTCAGCATAGTTCAGCATTCACTTTAACATGTTTTAAAAAATTAAGCATAACTTCTTTATTCATCTGTTGATTTGATGGCAGACAGTGAACCACACTTGACTGTTGGCCATAGAAACAATGATTAAATACAATCAGCACTTTCATGGTGCTTTTCTGTTTTTGTTTTATGAGTTGGGCCATAATACGATCTGCAAGCAAAACTTAATATCTGAGAAAATAATGTGTTATTACATGATGTGTTATTCTTCTAAAGACTATTTGACAGTTTACAGTTGAGCTCAAAATAATGGCAGATTTAGGGTTGACATAATTTTTGGATTTTACCAAAATGTGTGTGTTTTTTTTTCCACCTAGCACTAATATTGATGTTTTGGAGTGGCCTGACAGGAGTTCCAACAAAGAACCTGAGAAGGCAGCTGTAGATTAGGGTGATGACAGGGAGGCCTTCCAACCTCCAAGACTATGAGCTCTTCCTCATAAATCATTAAACTACTGGAAAAATGCTAGCTTCAATCTAACACTATCGGGGTTATCAACAATGTTGGGTTTAAGTGGAGGTCAAGATCAGTGGAGAAAAATGCCTCCACTGTTCCTCAGACCCAAGCTAGGCAGACTGTTTCTCATCTGCCTCATCTAATGGACAGGACTTAGTCTGCAGTAATTGTTGGCTGAATAAATGTAGAAACCTGGATAAACATGGTCAGTGAATGTCGTTTTAAAGGTGTAGAGGTGCTCTAATTTGTCACATGACACCTTGTAGAAAGACAGTGTGCCACCTTTCAAATCCAGATACACTCCAATGATTCTGCAGCCACCAGCAGGACCTTCGCCGCTCCATAATTTGCCATTGTTCCAAGCCTCAAACCGATCACTTTTGCCAAAATACCAAGACTTTTCTGTCGTCCCAAAGCCGTCGTTCCTTTCAATTAATTTGTACGCAACACCTACGCCGATGTTGGAAGCCTCACTCCACTCCACCTCCCAGTAACAGCGCCCATGCAGCCCTTCCTTACACAGAACCTGAGGCTTAGTAAACCTAACTGGGTGATCAGGATAGTACTGCCACGTTGATGTATACTCTGCCTTTTTGTTTTCTTCTGAAAGAATGATATAATTATATGCTGTGTTTGGGTCGAGTGTCAGATCACAGGTGTCTAGTGGAAACACAAAAGGAAAATCAGGTAATTAAACAGATGAACAGTTTGTCACATCTTGTTGAATATTGCAGCTAGCTTATCTTAGGTAAGATCGAACACTCCTTGGGAATGATACCAAATAAAAGTTTACTTTGACAGATTTGATGTTCAAAGTAGCTGTAATTTTAACCGATAATATTTTTCTTACTTGTGTGCTGAATCTGAAAGCAGACATATTACTTACACCAGATGAGGTCTTCTTTGTTTCTTATTGTCTTCACGTCTGAGAATTCTGGCTTTGAAAAATTCTTGGACACCAGTTTGCCTTGCTTGTAATGGTAGATGCTTGCTCCTTGAATTTCGGGATTTTGCAAGGCGGTTACAAGGAAATGGAATTTGGCATTGGCCTTCAAGCCTTTGGCCATGTTTTGCAAATCTTGGGCTTTGCTCCTGAGTTCATGAATCAAACTGTTTGAATGGTACCACTGGTTTTGTTTCGGTGCAGAGACTTGCTTGAAGCTAAGCCTATCATGCAAATGAAGGGAACTCTCCAACTGATCGAGGTACGGGTCCAGGGCCTGCTCCAGAGAAGTGAAAGTAAAACACAGAGTGTGGACCACATCTTGAGAAAAAGTTTCTTCTCTCAGCTGGTGCTCATTGGAGATGATTTTAATGCCCTCCATTGCACTCAGACAGATCTTGAGGGCAGTTACCTCTGCCTCTTTGTCTGACATCCACTTGTCTAAATTGTCATGACTGAATGCTGACTTGTTTCGGTCGTCAAACAGTTTTTCAACCGAACTATCGTTTTCTTTTCCTGCACGGATTAAAGGAAATTTTTCCTTAATGGTACCTCTGAGTTGCTTTTCATACTTTTTGCAAAGGTCTAAAAATTTCTGCACATTCTTGTAAATATGGGGTAAGTTCTTCAGTGCTGCATCTTCCAGAATTTCTTTGCATCTTATGTCAAATTGGCTCAGATCTTCAAACACATCTTGTGCTTTAGTGATTAGCCCTTCACAGATTTCCCCCATTACTGCAGGGGTGTTGGAGTCGTATGTCTTCAGTGGCGTCAGAAACACTTCCACCGGTACAGAATTATTCTTATCTTCTCGAAGAATCTTTGAAAGATTCTGGTAGGTCTTGAGTGCATCTTCAAAACTTGTTGGGTTATCAAGGAGAAAGTCTCCATAAAACTGGCAACTGATGCTTTTCAGAAGGGACTTTTCTTTTTCACCTAACTGCACGGACATGCTTCCATCAACACTCATTTTAGGAATCTTATTTATTGCCCCCTCCAAGGTGCCCTGGAACTCCTGATCTTGAGAAGATTCTAACTTCTCACTGTAAAAGACAAAGAAAGCATTTGCGCCGTACTGAATGCCTGTCACTACATGCGTTGCCAGGTTTTGTACTTTGTCACTGAAAATGCCTGAACTGGAGGCTTCCTTTTGCGTCATTAACAATTGAGTCAAATGAGTTGTGGCCTTATACTGAAGGGTCACTCTGCTCTGATTTTTAAATTTCTTCTTGTCGTTCAGGTACTTGGCTGAGCCACTAACTTCAATCAGACCACTCAAGAAACTTGCTTTTAGAGAAGCTTTAACATCCAAGAGAGAGGTCTTTTCTTTAAGAGAATCAGAGGAAATAACTTGAAAAGAACTGCTGGGTTTAGAGCTCGTTTCTTTTTTATCATCCAGAAACTTGTCATCCCATAATGAAATTCCTGGGGAAAATGAAAAGCACCATTAGTGTGTTAGAAAGAAGCCAATTAATGACAATCTTTTTCTTAAATCAGGCAGATCTATTCAGTACATCAAACAAGTCCTCAGCTTGTTGAAAATCTCTCAGAAACTCCTTTGGTGATTTAGGTCATTTTTGTCCCTTTCCTGCTGTTCCAAAAACAGACATAATTTCCTACGCATTAAATGGCTCAATTTCTTTGAGTAATTTCCATGTGTTTTCTTTAGAAAAATGCAAAATTCACAGCTTAGACTCAGTTTTAAAATATTTTTTATTCACTTTTTGTTGGGTTTTTCACTCAGATCTGTTGAGTGAAAAGTACAATAAAAAACGCAGCACTGAAATGACAAGCTGATGGTCAGACTCATGATGTGGCTGAAACTGAAATATCTTTGCACCCTGACCAAACAGATAAATGTTAGTATCATGTCTTCCACTGTCTCACATAAATAAACTTTTTGTTCTGCAATGGGATATTGGGATCATCTCACCCAATAACTGTATATAAACAGTGTCTCACACATTTGCATGTGTGTGTGTGTTTACATTAAGTCATGACCAAAATCCAAAGACCTGCAATTTTTCATATTTCTGCTGATGGATCACCAATGGGACTCCATGTTTGCCACATGGGGACAGTGTCCCCGCAGTCTGCAGAAAACACCCATATTAAGCGTCCCTAAAGAAATATTTAAAGCTTGGTAAAGAAGCAAACGGCTTGGTTTCAATTCAGGTTTCAATAATTTGCATATTTGTTTTATTTTCTTTCTACTATTTCTTCTTTTTTTCATTCACAACCTGATTATAGTCCAGCAGCATGAATACCAAATATTTATAGTTTCTTCATAAAATGTTGTTTGGGAGTGTACATTTGTGCACTCCAAAAAATTATTGTCTTACATATTTATTTTGTGAATAAAGATCAGATCCAGATCAGATCAGAGTTTCTACTGATCTGGGTTATTTAACTTTCAACAAAAATCAAGAACAACAACAATCCATTTAAATTAAAACTCATTGTCAGAATCTGAGTAATTGCTTCTGTTGTATCACTTAAAACAGACCAATAGATCATGACAGATAGCTCAAACATTTTGTCTGAAGTTGTGTATGTATAATAGGACTTAAATCCATAGTAGTTATTGTAAATGTAAATAGTTGTACCTGTCATCAGTTCATCTTTTCGAGCGTCATACAGCATTCCCAAGGAAAAAGGTCTGCCCAAGGCAGGAATTTGGAGACAATTGGAGTCCATGTCTTCAAACTGATAGAAAACACAAAACTATGAGAAAGAAAGACAGAGAACACAAGACAAAATGTTGGACAAAAAAATGAAGAGCAGGTTATTCCAATTGGAATTGTTTTGTTCTGCCTGAAATTGTGAGTACAACTCAAGGTGTACAATCGTTCTAGAGCAAAATCTGTAAAATCATTCAAATATTCTACTTACTCTTTCAGTTTGTCCTCACAGAGGGACGATATTCTGATCTGCTGAGTCAGCGGGGTGTCTTCTGAATTGCTCGCTGGATTTCCCAGTGTGATATTCTGTCAGTTTCCACGTGCATTTATCCTACTGAATGTGTTTCCAGCCTCCTCCCCTTCTGTAGCATCCAGACCAAATATAGAGTTCTGTGGAAGTGGGTTCGATAACGAGCCCTTTAGTTGGAACTGTTATCACACAGCATAAAACAAGTAACGATAAAACTGTGGACTTACTCATTGAGTAAAGACTGCAGAGCGCAACCCAGTTACAAACTGATGTCTAAAAAAGGTAAAGACATGATAAATGGAGTTGCATGCCAAAAACAAAGAATCGACTTCAAAGAAATGCAGAGCAGACATGTGCAGTACATAAAGTAAATATCTGTTCCATGAGCTCAAAACATCCAGGTTATAATAGAAGCTTTCATAAAGCAGAAAAAAATCTTGACGTGAGTGGAAAAGTTGGCTAAGAAATGAAGACTTAAATGTGAAATGTTTTTCTTTTAGCAACGCAGGAACAAAGTCAGGTTGACTTTTGCTCTTTGTCTCGACTGTGAGGCATGATGGTTCTAAATGAAAACAAATTGATTTTTTCAATTGGCCCTTTATATTTGCCTTTTAGGGCGTTCATTTTCTTTAAACATGCAATGCTTCGTCATTCTTTAATTTTTGCATTAAAGACCTATTTATTTATTTTTTTCAGATTCTGCAATTTGGAAAAGTTCCAAGATACAAGCTTATCAGCTGTCTATGTCACTTTAATTTTCTCTGAAATCCTTTTTGTTTGTAACCTTTATTTAAGCATGACAGAAAAAGAAAACCTCACTGAGATTAAAAAATCTTGTGTACAACAGAGTCCTAGGCTATCAAGACAAGAACAAGTCAATTTCAACCTTTCAAGCATTTTACGTACTGAACATATTGTTCATTTGCATCTAATAAAACAAATTACATAAAACGTCTACACAGCCAGAAGTTTCTGTCTCCTTGTTATTCAAGAGACTTTTAAAACTGTTCAATGAAATCATCTCCTCAAACTTTAGATCCTAATTGATTTCCGTACTAATTAGCAGTTGATTTAAAATCCACGAGTCTCTGTTTGGTATGAAATGACAAGCAGGAAAAAATTCTAAACAACTAACAGAAAGAAAAGACATCCAGTACAAACGTGACTCTTTTGCTAACGACTGAATGAGAAATCTCAGAGAAGAGGGAGTTGTCAATTAAAAACTCAAGATATTTATACTGGGAGACAAGAAGAGTCCCGGACCCCTGAGAAGTAGTGATTGGTAGCTGGTTTTGTTCTTTTGATTTTGAATTTGAGGAGAACTTAAGCTTTGTTTTTCCTGAGTTTAAAACAAGTTTTGAAACTCTAAAATTGGCCTCCACAGTATTAAAAGTCTGTTGCAACTGAGTAAGAGATAATATTGGGTGTAGATGCAGAGCTATACATAACTGTTTCCTCTACATAAAAATGAAAATTTGCATTGTTGATGTTACTATAAATATCATTAACACAAAGAATGAACAAAGTGGCCCTAAAACCGAGCCTTGAGGGACACCACCTTCTAATGTGAGATTCATTGAGCAGAAATGGTCAGCCTCTGTGACTGTGTTGTTTTCTAACTAGTCTACACAATGTTTGGAAATGCCAATGCCAGTCAGTCTGTGTATAAACAATGCTTGAGAACTGGTCTCTTTAGAGATAAAAAGCAGTTGGATCTGCATATGTTCCTTATGTCTTCCATTACTGAAGCTTTTAAAGTTAATAAAGTAGCCAAAATAGGTATTTGTCTTAAATTTAAATGCATTTCAATAAGAGTTGAGTATCCGTATTCTCTATCTAGATTCAAACTCACTCAGTTTTTTAGACCTTACTTGGAATGAGAATATGGTTGAGGACCTGCTTTGACTATCACATGTCTGTTTTCTTGCAGAACTGCTTTGCACATTTATGTTCTCTCTCTCTGCAGTCCTGCAGCTTCTCTTCCAATTTGCATTGCTGTGGTCCGTTTGAAATCTTCGATTTTATGGAAATTATGACATTGCAGTTTTGGTTTTGATGCTGCAGAACAAAAAAGTATTTTTAATACTCCTTGTGGAAAAGCTACTGCGCCTCTTGTCCTTGACGGGGAACTCGGAGGACCCCACAATGCAAATAAATAAATAAATAAATACAGAATTACAAACCAAAATTTGCAGGGTGTTAAAAATCATCAATTACTCCTCTTCCTAAAAAAACATTGAGTATAAAAGGTCTGGGAGTTGGAATGAAAGGCCACTCCTCAGTTCTTTTAAGTAGCTTGGGACAAAATAAATGTCCAGAGGGACAACTGTAACGTTTCAAGATTTTAAAAATAAACAATGCTGTATTTTGTCTGTATGAGTGACCAATGTTTAAGTATGCCATGTGTTCTTTTAATTAATGTAAAATGTATTTTTTTTTTACCCCTGACCAAACATGGTCCTTTAAGTTGGACAGTTGCCAGTCACAGTGATGTCTCTGGTTTCAGAGACACGACGCCAGACAACGATCAGTCGAAGGTTCCCAAGGAAAAAAACTGACCCGGCTGGGGAAGAGTTTTCTAAGGCCTAACATCTAAGGGTTTTGCTGAAGTTCTGTCTTCATCAGTTCCTGCAAAGCCAGAGATGTCGTCGCTAAAGACACATTGACGGGTGTCTGAGTTACCGGACAGGGAACGTGTCTCCCAGGGAAACGGAGTTAACAGAGACGACACAGCCATGGGTCTGTCAAAAACATTGTCTCTGAATTGTTTGTGTTATTGATCTTAACTGTTCCCCGATCAGGGAAGCTCAATGAACAAACATCTCTGAAACCCCAACCAGTGGTGTGTTTGGGACCGTTCCCAAAGACGAGGCTTCCCGGCTGGGGAAGCTCTCTGAGAACGAGAGCAAAGTCTTTGGGTCCAGTTTTTTCACTGTTTCGAAAGGGATAACCGACCCGGATGGGGACGTTGACCTTTCGGAGCAGCGAGCTGGTTCAGACATCCTGGATGTGGTGAGGACAGGAGCCACAGAGCAGGGACACACTGTCATGGAGGACACAGAGAACTTCTTTAAGTTCTGCAATGTTTTCCAAAACAGTTGGGTGAATCCCTCTTTTCAATCCATCCTGAACCTGAGTGTGACCAGGAGGTGTCTCGCTCCGGAAAAGGTGTTCATTGACCTTTTCGTGCACAGCACGTCCGTCCCGTGCTGTGCAGGTCTTCTCTACTCAGCCGTCCACCATCCAGGAAAACGCATTCCTTTAGAAATCTCCCCAGTCCTGACGGAGTGAGGGACAGATGTCTGGACTTGGGAAGAGACTTTTAGATTTCCTTTGCTGGTCTGGCTCGACTCTTTTGGTGGCAGTACAGATAGAGAATTGTACAGTGCAAGCAGTTGTACAACATGTGAAATGAATTACTTAGAGCCCCTTATTGTACTTCCACAGCGATAGATAACGTAGCATCTCTTTTTAGAAGTTGGGTGGAGTTAGGGGTCATATCTATTTGCTCAGGCTGCAGGTCAAAGTAAAATCACACACACTGCCTCACTGACAATAACATCCTGGTCTTTTTTCTGCCACAGTCGGCCAGATGTAACAAGAAACTCAAAGTCCTTCCCACCCCAAGCATCAATGAACCTGGAGGATGTGGAACGGAGCGATACTACCTGTCCTCTGTCATCCGCTGTGGTTCTGACCGAGCCCAGTATTACACCTACATAATTCATGGACAACAGACACTGAAAGCTGTTGATGATCATGTCTTCGCTGCAGACAGCCGCTGTAGCGAAGACATGTTCAGAAGGGGGCTTCATGTTTGTTCATGAAAAGCAAACAAATTAAGAGCAACTACAGGAAACCACACCTTATGATGAAGGTGCTTTCAGAGAGGAGCTTGAAATATACACTTTCATTGAAGATAACGTCCAAGATGATAAAATAAGCAAACATTTTGAGGCTGGAGAATGTAACAGAACATGTGTTCAGTTTCTTAAACATTCACAACCAGAGACACAAACATTTATGGGACGAAAGGGTAAAAAGATTTGACAGGTTTCCTGTTTGCAGGTTTCCCTCCAGGCGCTCCGGCTTCCTGCCACAGTCTGGACCAGTAGCGTTTGAGTCTTTTGTCTCTAGTTTTGAGAAAGGTTCCCTCATACTCTCATTCACCTCTATCTGACTGTATACTTTGTGGTCATAAGAGGCGGTCCCTGAGAGTGCCATGAATCATTCCATAGCTTAATCGTTCCAGTGTCTTAATATGACCTGCCTTGCTGTGGCGAGGGCTGTTTTGTTTTTATGCACTGTGCTTTTTTGTTCCTATTCTGGTCTCATAATCCAAGAAGTTAAGGAATCCCAGTGTCGGTATCAAGACCAAGGTTGCTGCTAATTGTTCCCATGACCTTCTGCCTATAAGAAATTAGGTTCCAATAATTCTTGGAGTTACTTATTTTACCTGTAAATAATTTATCTGGTTTTTGTTCAGAAGTTTGAACTGTGATGAACTTCATCACTGAACAATTCTTAGCTGTAATGTGGAATGCTGTCCAGTGGGTGATGCTGTCGAGCCACGTTTGACAGAAAGCTTTTCCAGCTTCTTATTGCCATGGTGATGATGAGTGGCTCATTATGGTCCCCTGCAGATTTGGTGTTCCTATAGTTAACCTGAGAGGAAACACGGCGCGGGGGTCCGACTCGGGATGAGCCTGTTCAGTCTCAGGGGAACAATCAAAGTCCTCCTTTAAATAGACTGTGGTTGATGGGACTTAGCAGCGGGTGAACCGGTGCATGGGGACTCAGAGCGTCGCTACAGTCAACATCTGTCTGATGGGAACGGGCCCAGCAGCGCCTCATTACTGGATCTGTGAGGCAGACGCCTGAGCAACAGATGGATGGAGGCGCCACGCTGCTCTAGCTGGAGGACGCAAACGAACGCTTCAAAACACTCAAGAGCCGATGCATGAACACACACCGATGCATGAACACACACCGATGCATGAACACACACCGATGCCTGAACACACACCG